TTAAGCAGGCTTCTTTTATTACAGGACTTCTTGGAGTCTTTAATCAGTTAATGTGCATTTTAAATCTCCATGGGAGGAAAAGAATAGGAAGCATTTCGCAAACATACATGATCCCAGAAGTCTTTTCGCATCTCATACTGCCATCCATGACACACGCTTTGACTAATCCACCAACAAGCCATCTCCCCTGCCGTTCCTTGTTAACAGAACTCTGATTGTGTTTGGGCAGTGATGTTGCCAGCCCTAGAGGATGAATCATGATCGGTGCCATGGCAATCCTGACAATCCTGTCTCTTTGCTATGTATTCACTTTCCTGGTCTCCCTTCCAGCTAAGAGTGGCCATGACATGTGATTCATTGCCAGCCAATGGGCCACAAGAGGAAGTCAGCCTGGAGGATCTGGGTAGTTTTCCTCCCTGATAAAAGGATTTTTGAACTATTCTAGCTGCCTCCTTACTTGCTGCTTGTGATGCTGGTGCAGGGTGATGCCACAGTGGAACTGTGACTCTCTGGTGGTTTTAAAACATGGCACGTGGGGGCCGGCCTGGTGGCGCAAACGTTTAAGCGCGCGCGCTCTGCTTCAGTGGCCTGGGGTTTGCGGGTTCGGATCCCGGGCGCACACCGACACACCGCTTGTCACGCCATGCTGTGGCAGTGTCCCATATAAAGTAGAGGAAGATGGGCACAGATGTTAGCTCAGGGCCAATCTTCCTCGGCAAAAAAAAAAGAGGAGGATCAGCATCAGATGTTAGCCCAGGGCTAATCTCCCTCACAAAAAAAAAAAAACATGGCACAAATTCTTTAATGCTCCTCTCATGAGACGTGATCTTTGTATTGCTCTCTTGAATCTGGCAGGCTTGTGATGGCTTTGACAGGAAAGGACAGTAGAGCGACATGCTAAATGACCTCCATAGCTGGAACATTTGCCTTGGAGCCCTGAGCCTCCGTGTACCAAACCAATGACGCTGAGTCAGTCATGCTGAGAAGCCCAAGCCACAGGAAGAGGTCAAGTACAGGCGCTCCAATAGACAGTCTCTGGTGAGCTTTCCTGAGTCAGCCTAGTCCAGGCACCAGATGTTGAAATGAAGAAGTCTCTAAGAGTCCAACCTCTGGCTGCTCAAGTCTTCCCAATTAAGGCCCGAGAAATTGTGGAGCAAAAATAATCCACCTCCACTGTGCCCCATCTGAATTCCTAGTCCACAGAATCCATCAGCAGTACAAAATGGTTTTTGTACACTAACTGTTGGGGTAATTTGTTATATAGCAATAGATAATCAGAACAGACTCCCTCTCTCAATCCTAAGAGACTCTGACCTAGAACCCCAACTCCTCTAGCCCACCGCACCACCCCTAACTCCAGACTTCTTCATATGTGAAATAATTACATATCTTTATTGCTTAAGCCACAGTTACTCAAAAGCATCCCTCAATGACATGCCATGCTGCTGCTGAGGGTCCCAGATTCAGGTCAGAGCTCTCATCCTCTTTCCTGTGGGCTGATGCATGAGCCAACTTGCTGGTCTTTCCATCTCTGGCCCGTCCCGTTCTCCACACACTGCCACCAGAATGATTTTTCTAGAACACACTCTGATCCCATCACTTCCTCGCTTAAAACCTTCAAAGGCTCCCCATCACTTTGCAGTAGTTCATAACTGCAGCAGGCAACAGAATCATCTGGAAGACCTTTCTAAAAGTCCCAAAGTCTGAGCCATTCCAGGCCCTCTGAATCAGGCATGTGTATGTGCAAAAAGCTCCCCGATGGGCAAGTGTAGGTAAGACCCACGAAGCTTTTCCTCACCTTCTCCTCTCCCTTCCTCCAGGCAGAACGTAATGCTTCCCCTTCTGTGCTTCCACAGTACCTTGTTCACATTTCTATTATTACTATCACCCTCACCACATAAGGAGACGCCAGAGGGCAAGGACCCATCACATAGAACATTGTATCCCCAGCACTTAACACACTGTCTGGAAGACAGAAAGTGCGCGTTTGTTTTGATGAATGGATGAATGCATATAGAACAATAAACCCTTAACATCTCTGTCTTCTGAGGCAGGTCTGTTTCCTCTGGAACTTTGCTGTCTCTGCTAACTGAGCAAAACAGAGCAAGGAGAATACAGACAACCACAAATTAGACAAAAATCTGAGGTTTATCATTTAGTAGACTCTGGCTTCATCAGCCAAGGAGGCCTGAAAACCTAGGGGCCATTTCTTTCCTGTAACAACCAAGAAGCTGGAGAAACCATTTGAGTTTTACAGTGCAAAGCACATTCTGAAAACATCCTGGTCCCGTGACTTCATCTGCACCTTGCAAACGCTTCTCTGACAAGGCTGTGATTCGCACTATCAGTCGTGACTTCATCTGCACCTTGCAAACGCTTCTCTGACAAGGCTGTGATTCGCACTATCAGTCTTCAGCAAATAATTGAGGGTGGCCTGCTTGCTGGAATGAGTCCAAAAAACAAGTTTTATCACAGGACTGCCTTCCCAAAAAACCTACTTAGCTATATCCTGCAGGATGTACCGGGTGTGTTCCCCAGTCACTTACAGAGGGAAACTCCCTTATTTCCCCCAATGCCCATTACCTCAAATGTACTTTATCCCACTTTCAAGGATATTTCCAGACCACATTCTATAAAATAAACTTTGTGGTCTACGTATTCACCAATACTTTGGGGAACAGAATGGCGATGAGAACTACAATTTCCTGAAGACATACTTACTATATGTCAGGCGCTGTCAGGTACATCCATATACTTTCTCATTTTATTTATAATAACCAGCAGGTAATATGGTTCTTCCTGTTTTAGAGGAAACTGGGGTTTAGAGCAATTAAACAACTTTTCCAAAGTTATACCATTGGTAACAGGAAGGAGCAGAGCTGAGACTCACCCCAGGCTCTGTGGGGGGCCAGAGCCTGCATGGTCTCTTCCTATGACCCACTCCCTCCACTCTGTGCTCTATCAAATGAGAAAGAAGGAAAGTAACATTTACCTAAGCCCACACTAAGCACTTTCTGAGTGTTAACGCCTTTAATCCCCAACCAGTCTGTGAGGTGAATATTCTTCTCCCACTTCACAGATAAACCCACTGAGACTTAGAGAAGTTAAGGAATGCGCCCAAGATCACAGAGTTAATGGCAGAGAAGGAATTTCAAAGATCATGCTTTTTCCACGCCACCATGCTGTCCCCTTCTCCATCCTAAATATGAAAGGTTTTTGGGTTTTTTCCTAAATGACAGAAAGGCATTTAACAAAGAGAAAGTAATAAGAAAAGAAGCAGCCCTTGAGATCTTGTTAAGTCTACAAAAATAACTCTCACCCAACCAGCACTTTCCTGTTTAGATAATGCTTTTCAGATGTGTGATCCTCACGTGATCTCATGTGATCCTCACAACAGCCCTGAAAGGTAAGTACTAATATTCCCGATTTCCAGAGCAGAATTAAAACCCAGATGGGTTAAGTGACTTCACCAAGGTCAACTGCTATTAAGTGCTTGAGGATGGATGCAGACCATGTCTTGGAGGCCAAAGCCTGCCATCTTCCCACCTTCCACAAGTAATATTGCCTCTCAGGGCTTCTCTTACTGGTTTAAGAGAAAAGGTAGAAAACCATTACTGGCAAAGATTCCTTATGTTAAGGAAGAAGTTCTTTAATGTATCTAGTTCTCCAAGGCAAGATCAAAGGTTCAAGCTACAATGATGTCGAACATCTCCTTAAGTCCACCCCCACCACTGAAGAGAAAGACATTTTCCCTCCACGATCCACTGGAATAACACTGAAGTCACAAAACTCAAGTGTTTGATCTCAATATGATTCCTCGACCAAAAGGACAGACCCACCCACAGGGAGGGTGGGATCTGTGGAGCGTTCACATCCAGCTTCCCAATCAGGCCAGCACATGCTCAAGTTCACTCTTAAACCCGTTTATACTCTAACAGATGAATGGGCATGAACCATCAAGCCCCGCTCTACTCCATTTCAACAAGAACTAGAGGATGACTCTTTCACATTCGAAATCTAAAGGATGGGAAGTGCCCATGTTCTCTCTGCAGAAAGAATATGATGCCTCTTGTCTTCTTTCCAAGGAAATAAAAGCCTAAATAAAGAAACCATAGTATGGTGGCAGAAACTTCAGTGACTGAACTTTTTGTGGTTTTGTTTGTTTTTCTTAAGTATCACTCATGAGCACATATATGTCAGATGCCACACCGAATGTTTTACAAACATTATCCCATTTAATCCTCATAATAACTCTCTGGAGAATTATATTACCAATCCCGATTTACAGATAAGGAAATCAAGCATGTTAAGGAACGTTCACAAGATCAACAGCTGGTCCGAAGCAGGGCTGAGATTTGAACCCAAGTTTACGTGGCTCCAAAGCCTATGTTTCTGTCCAGGATACACCACCCGCTACAAGTTTTCCAGCACTCACTCTCTATCCTAGCACCTTCCCAACGAGGACCTTCAAGATCAAAGAGTATGTGAACCTGTAGATATGGGCAAACCCATCTCTGCCCCTGTTGAACTTCAAAAAAATAAACTGGTGATTTCTTGGCTTCTCAGTTATCACTAGAATTAAGTTAAAGGGACTAAATTTTTGGAAACAAATCTGATCTATCTGAATCACAGGCCTAAAGATGCCACGTTTTTTATGCTCATGGCTGGGACCCCATGGTTGATTCTGTATTTAAATTATGTAATTTAGGCAAGAAAAGATATCATTAAAATGTGGTCATGGAGCATAAGACTTTAAAAGCATCTCTTCAGTTACATATAATTTACCTTCTGCTGACTTTCTCAATAACATTAAAAATGCAAATCCTCCCAAGTAAGTTTTGAACGAATCTCCTTGTAACTTCTTGGTCTGGTCACTCCACCCCAGCAAAAGACTGACTTCCCTCTGCTACCCTTGAAAGATCTGAGGTTTCTTATTCTTTACTAAGGAAGCTGTGTTTCCTTATGCACATTCAGAAAACAAACACAGGAAGGTCACCTACCTCGGAAAAGAACTCATCCATGAAAGCTGTGTTGTCAATGGCAATCTCGACCTCGTCGGCATCATCATCCTGTGTCAGCTGTTTCTGCGAGAGACAAAAAGGAGCAGGGTGAGACTAAAAACACAAGAAATGGCTAACAGTATTGACTGCTCCCTAAGGACCAGGAGCTCTATCTATATTAAGCATGTTACAAACATAATCTCCTTTAAAACTCAGAACAGCTCTGTGATGCACCAAACTCTGATGTCACACATCTGAATTTAAATCCTAGATCTACCACTTACTGAATTTTTGCAGGGAGATGGGGGGAGGAAGGGGGCGAGGGGCAAGTTACTAACCTCGCTGTGCTTAGGTTTCCTTATCTGTAAATGCCGACAATAAGACCACCTACCTCCTGGGGTTGTTTAAGAAATAAATGAGATCATGAATATAAAACACTTTCGCACAGTGCCTGGCATACAGTAAGTACTCAATAAATGCTAGGTTTTGTTGGTGGTGGTGGTGGTAGTGGTATTGGTGACATTACTATAACTCATTCCAGTCAGAGAATCTAAAACAGAGAGGTTAAGTAACTTAGCCAAAGTCACACACTAAAATGTGGAGACAGGCCAATGCTAGCCTGTCTTTTGGATTTGGACCCCATTTTCCTAACCCCTTCTCCACAATGTTCAAATGCATGATCATCCCTACCAGGGATCTATTTCAGAACAGTTTCTAGCCACAATTCCTCCAAAGCACTGGCTTCAAATCCTCACAGTAGGAGCGAAGATTTTCCTGTTTTCAGAAACCACCTGTTACAACGGAAACAGCACTGTGTGTTGTTCCCTGTCAGAGCTCATGTTTACAAGGAAAAGGAAGCTGCCCCCCAGCTTTCTTAATCTCGTTCGACTTCCTCTGCAAAATCATGAAATGGCTATCTAAAGGAAGTGCTTCCATTCCCACCCAGCTTCAAGGGCCTGAGTTGTTCCTACGTTCTTCCCAAACGCTCCTCCCAGACGACTGCTGCATTGCACACTGCCCATTTCTAAGCACAGATGGAGAACTGGTTGTTGGGAGTGGAGGTGGGGATGGGGTAAACCCCCCTACACTTGCTTCTTCACAAGCTTCGGTGGCCTATGAGCTTCTAAGCCAGGACTTGTCACTCTCCAACACTCTGAACTCCACGGGCAATGAAAGCCACCAGGGGCCTCTTTTCTTCACCTGGTACCATCCCCCTGACCTGCAACAGAAGAGGGAGTTACTGGGAATTCCCGCCAAAATCTGGGACTCTTTAGCCATCTGGGGAGTCTCTTTTGACTGGCTCCCCCACCATCTCATTCTCTGGCTTGTCTGGAACCATCAGCAACCTAAGCTTAATAGCCACATTCAAAGGAGTTGAATTTGAGGGCACTGCTACAGCCCCCACAAACATCTTCCTAAAACTTAAGAGCTGATCCTGTCCTTCTGCCACCTAAAGTCATTCAATGACAGCTCATCTTCTAGGATTAAAAGTCCCAATGCCTAACGGAGCACACGGGCCCTTTAAGATCCAGCCACACCCACATTTTTCCCTCTGTGATGCACTCTCTATACCAGGTACTTAGAACTCCTTGCATTTCCTGGACGTACCGTTCTTTCATATCACTGAACTTTCCCATAAGGACTTGTTCCTGAAACGCATTTGTCCAGCTGGCAAAATTTTACTTAGCCTTTAAAACTCAATCTCAAACAACCTTCCGAGTCCACCTTACCTGACACTTCCCCACCCCCCGCCCCCGCAAAATTTAAAACCTCCCTAAGCTCCCAATGCATTTTGTGCAAACTTTCCACAGCATCCATCACAGCCCTCTATTAATTATCCCTTAACTTATCTATATTTCCCTATTGACTATAAACTCCTGGAGGGTCAGAGTGGCCTTATGTATCTATTATAGTAGATACTCCGAGTGTGTGTGCCTGCCCAGGACGCCTTCCTTTGTGGAAACACCCTTTACCTTCCCCATATGATGCTGGGAAGGTTATCAATCATGACCCAAGCTCCCTGAGGAATCTGCATGTCAAGTGAACAGAGCCAAGCCAACCAATGGCAGCACCTAACAGAGACATCTGCTGGATTCCCAGAGCTACCCTTGTTTCTATCCATCCTAAGCCACCCCTTGGCTTAGAGCAGTTTCAACAGATCTTCCCCAGAATTCTTTCAATGAGCTGAACAGTATTCTTCTAATAGTTTTTTATTCATTTAGCCAGAATCAGCTTTTGTCACTTGCAATTAAAATTACTCGCACTTGTCATTAATCAATGCCACCTGTATACTGAGTACTTGCCAAGGACTAGACATGTAACAGAAATTTAATCAATTTTAGCTGAATAAATAACTAGCTTCCACAGAGACCAGCAGCCCAGATTTACCCAGCAGTTTCTAAAGTTTGAGACAAAATGCTCTCTTTATCAACTATCATCAATACCTGGGCCTCTCAGCAGCCTCCATCTCCCAAGAAGGATGTGTGTGATCCTCGCTAGAAACTAGGAACCTAGTCTTCCTCCAGGAAGGCGAGTTAACAAGCATTTGTTGTGAGTTTCCTCTCTTCAGAGAATTTCTATAGACCCACACTGAGGGGAGATACCCCTGTATGTGTGCACACACACAGACCCACACACACAGACACACACACGTGTGTCAACCTGGTCTTTAAACAGGCACATGTGGCTAAGGAAGTGGGATAAGGCTACCATCATGGGATGGATTAAGGGAAGTTTCCAGAGGCTAGGAACAACTGTGTCCTGGAGCATGGGAGGCAGGCACCTAGCTCTCCATCATGACACAAATTTTTGAGACCCCTGGAATTCATACACGGATTCCTCACATCCAAGATGGCTACCTCTTGGCTTTGAGCAGGCTCTAGCAAGACAGCCTGGTCCACCTCCAGCGAAAGAATGTGTGGACTGAGAAAAGAGAAGTCTTTGGTGGCTTACAACCTAGGTCCAAGACCTGCTGTTACCAATTACTGGCTGTGAGAGCTCAATCAAGTCCCTTACTGCTCTGAATTTTTTACCTGCAAATGGTAATAACACCACATACTTTATGACTTTTACCAAGACTGGAAGAGATCACATATGAAAAGCTTCTAGCCCAATACTGGGCATACACTAGTGCCTAATAAATGTCAGTTTCCTCATCTCCTAGCCATAAAGACGGGACGTCTAAAAGAGTGAGTTCTCTACAGGAAGTTCTCCACACTAAAGGCTAAGTCAATAAGATCGGTCCAAAGCATCATGATGACCAGGGTTCTACAACTCACTCCATCACATATTAGTCCCTGAGCCTTAGACAAATGGTTAACACCTCTGAGCCTCAATTTCCTTATCTACAAGACAGGAACAACAGTGTCTACAAGGGCTTTTGTCAGGATTAAATAAGGTAATATTTTAAAGCTCCTTATGCAATGTATTGCACATAGTAAGAACTCAATAAAGCAACCGTATGTAATATTGAACCAAATCAATGTGTCTATAGCTTCAACCTTGATCCAAGTACCTATAAAGGGGAAAGAAAAAAATAAGATATGTGACTTGTAGAGCTGAATGCACTCTTACAGAGTCTATCATCAAATTCTCTCCCTCAGAGATGGGGAAACCAGGGCCCAACACTAAATAATGAGTTACTGACACATCCAGGAATAGAACCCAGGTTTCCTGATTGCCATCTTCCCACAGAGTTTTTCCCACTGTGATGTGCTGCTTCCAAAATATAAAATAACAACATCAACAACAGCAGCAACCAAGTTTAGTCCAGAAAATGCAAGGAAGAGGCCATCATCACAGGTTATCTGGAGTTACGTGACACTGGAAATACCACCAGTCTTCTCCAGAAGGGGATCCACCAGATCCCAGGGCAAGGGCTCCTCCCCTTCTGACATAGCCGGGTTCTTCCAGACCAAGAGGCCTCAGGGACCTCAAGAGCAAGGAAGGCACATGATGCCCTTTATCTCAGCCCACATGACTGCACACGGCCAAGAAGAGAACTTCAGCATCTTTATCAAAGAATCAAGATGTGTGGTAATAGGAACGTTACAATAGCTGCAACATCAGCCGCAGTAAAAAGTATATGTAAGAACCATGTACCCAGCCACCACTTCCTCTCCCCACCCCTACCTGGGCCTCTTGCTGCCCCTCCCGCCAGGAGTTGGGAGACCGCCAAAGACTCAGGCAGCACTGAGCTAGAACCCAGGATCTATCATCCACCCCAGCTCTGAAATGTGCCCCAAAATTCAGTGAGGGCAGCCAGGGCTACGACCTCCTCTCTGGACAGAGAATGAAGAGTTCAGGGGCCCAGAACTCAACATGAAGCGACTTAATCTGCAATTCCTCTCACTCAACACTCCCTGCCTTTCTCTCAACTGCCTTCTCTATCATCCTCAGTCTATGTGACCACGGGTCCCTCTTCATTAGCTCCTTTAATAAAAATATTTGCCACCTATAAAGCCCCTACTAGGTGCTAGGTGGCCACAACACTCCAGCTGCTTCACGTACACCATGAACTCCATCTGTAGTTGAGAACTTGCAGGTCAGAGAAGCTCTAAGTTATTCAAGGTCTCCCAGCTACTGAATTTGCACAGTCCAGGCTCAAGCATAGGTGGTCTGTCCTAAGTCCTTGCTTATGCCACTGCCTCCGCCCAAAGCAGCCTATCACGGAGAGCAGCCGGGAGCGAAGGAGAGCAGCCAGGAGCCAAGGAGAGCAGCAGCCAGCCCTGCAGAAAGCCGCGCTGTGAGAGAGGAGCTATGGGTCTTGGGGCCAGCACTTGTCTCCGTTAAGCCTTGGTTTTCTCACCAAGTAAGGAGCTTAGCTTTCCAGTGCAGCTTTGTGGACCCCCAGGAGACCTCAGATGTGCCTCAGAAACCATCCAGGGAAGTCACAGAGTGGGGAGTCAAGTAGGCGGGCCCTCACCCCCTCTTCAATCTGCATAGCTTCACTTTTATCTGCTTTATACACTGGGGTTGAACATAACATTTCATTTTAAGAAAGAATCTTGTTGTCAAGAGAGAAAAGGAAGGAAGAGAAAAAGAAAGAAGAAGCAAGCTTAGCTGGCTGGAAAGCCACTGAAGTG